TTCTTTCTTTCTTTCTTTCTATATATATTTCTTTATATATATATTCTTTCTTTCTTTCTTTCTTTCTTTCTTTCTTTTTGGTAGGGCGGGGGGGGACCATGTGTCAATGTTATGTGAATGCCACAGTTTACGTTCTGGAATCAAATGTCATGACACCTGCATTCAGTGTCATCTGTGTGCTGATATCACATACTTTTCGTCATGTTGGTGTCATTAGGGTTTGCTGGCACTGCAGTGCCATTTCAATGGTCCATCGACATGCTTATCTCCAACATAATATTCATTCTGAAATCTGGTCACTCTCTCTTGAGCCAATAAAATAAAGTCAAGCCTAGAAGTATTCATGTGTTTTTCTTGACAACCATATGGAAAGATTTTTTTTTTTCCAACTCCCAGTGTAGCTTACAGCCTTGAGAACTTCCTGGTGGTCTCCCATTCAAATATCCCCCAGAACTAACTCTGCTTAGTATTTTGAGATCAACCAAGTTGATTAGATATTTGATTATGTACGCACAGATTAGTGTCAACTCTTAGCAACCACACAGATAGACCATCTCCTGGATGATCTGTCCCCAAGGACAGGTCTTCAGGTCTTCCAATGGTGGTCTTCCATTGATTAGATACTACTAGGGTTCAAAACCTCAGAAGTCCTATTAAAACAATGGAGCTTGCTACTTCTAAAGGAATGTGGTTGAGCACCATGTTTTCTACTCTTTTAATTTTAAGAGTGTTGCTGCTAATCAGTCCATCATGTAGAACCCTTTATATTCACCAAAAATATTTTTGCATCCCCTGTTTAATTGACTATTCTTATTGTTACAGTTCAAACCAGTGAATGTAGTAAACCCATTATGCTCAATAGGGCCTACTTCCAAGTAATTGGGTGTATAGGTGCAATTAACCATTCATATCTGTCAGCTGAATTTCAATCCTGTGAGTCTATCAACTATCAAAATGCAAATGACCCATTAATAGGAGCGTGGCAGAAGATGCCACTGTACTATCGCCACAAAGATTCACTTAAAACTAGCTGCAGATAATTGCTATTCATATTAACAATCACCCCAACCATTGTTATCTGTTCTGTGAGTATCATGGCTACATAACAAAGCTTTGTAACTGATGCCACAGATATTCCGCTACTTAATTCACTTAGTACTCA